ATAAATCATATTGGTTCTTGAATGTAATTATTTCTTATGTTTATATCAAGAAGAACTCAGTTGAATAAGATATAAATCATATTGGTTCTTGAATGAAATAGCCTGCGTCACATCCGGACTTTTTTGTCGGTTAGGTCCGTCTGTGAAACAACGCCAGAAACCATGTTCTGACCCCCTGCGAATTCGCCACGATATATGAAGCGATTTCTGATTGGCTATCAATCGGTTTTATTCTAACGCGAACGCTGATTGGTTGAATAGCTTGTAAACAAACTTCGCGCGAAGTTAAGCAATGTTGTGATGTTAGACTTGACTACACGTGAACAATTTGACATGTCGTAGCATTTTTTTTTAGAATTTAGTTTTTTGGAATCTCGTCTTTGCAATCTTTACTTTAAAACCGTCACAAATACTAAAGAAAAATTTTTAATCAATGGTAAGGGAAGCTTTAATGCTTCATTTGAAATAAGAAGCCTTTCTATCGAGAGAAAGTCGGAGTACATTTGCCGTCCATGCTTTAGAAAGCTAAAGAAACGAAGACGACTGATAGAAGAATTGAAAATTATAGAATATTCCTTCAGATCAAAAGGTCAAGATCAACCCAGAGAAACATCTCTGCTCAAGAGACAGAATACTGATAATCACAGTACAGTAAGCAAGGAACTAGACGGTAAGGAACTTCAAGCTACACCACCAAAGAGATCTCGGAGAGATTTGCCTACACAGGCCTACCCCGCGGATCCTTAAGTCGCGGTAATTTAAAGCAACTTAAGGCGATTTAAGAAGAAAATATGATGAAATTTTGGGTATTTTTAGGGCGGTTTAAAACAACTAAGGTGATTAAAGAGAACAAAGTTAGTTTCTTGTAAATAAATGAATAAAATGATTTATATAATTAAAGGTAAACAAAGGACTGTCTTATTCCCTGTTATTGCCTGTAAAGTACGTCTTATTTATCATACATAGTACACCTTTTGCTGTTCATTAACAGAAAATGTATATTCATTTGTGCCAATAGTTGTATCAATAWCGTGTAATGTACTTTCATCAACACCACAAGTAACATCATTAGCGCGGATCAACTTTCAATTTAACAAATCGCACATAGATTTCCATTGTCTGTCCTCTTATTGATCATAGATTGTTCAAAACTAACTCTGTAGATTTCTTTATCCTTTTCAATATTAGCTAGGTTTTAACACATATTTGCTTGAAAAAAATGAGCTGACCTACCTTGCAACAGTTTTAATACCCATTTGGTGTTTCTTTTTGTGCCCTTCGCGTTAGCACTTGACACAAGCTCATTCAAGTCTTTTTCTTCGCAAGTTGCAAAGCGGGATGAATTTTTCACGTCTTCCTCTATCTTTTCTGCCTCCAGAACTAAATATTCGTCGGCAAGACTATCAGTAAGATTAAGTTCAAAGTTTGGTTCCTCTTCTGGTTCCATTATCGACTTTTATTAGCAAAATAAATTCGCAAAATCACAGTCCTTACGATAAAATCCTACCTGCGAGTCTTGGTTTCAAAAACATTACGTCATCCATGTGTCTGTCCTCTTATTGATCATAGCTCTCAGCCAATCAGAATGTGTTATTTACGTGAGTTGTTGTAAAAAACGATAATTGAATATGCGTGTACATCCATAGGCATCAATGGACAATCAATAGCGCGTTCGTACATTCATATGCGCGGAATGTATTTTCTTGTGCGCGAAATTCAACTTCAATGACACCAAATGACAACCAATTGCATTTATGGACAATCATTTACCCAAAAGTGAAAATTCATTAGTGCTATTAGCATAATCATTGACAATCTATAACGCGCTTGGACAATCATGAGGGTCAACGTTATATTCTATTGCGTGGTTCGACAAACATTTGCATGATTCGAACGAACAATAAGAGAAATAAAACAATCATTAGCGATGTTCTTTTTTATCACTTTAAAACATATAAAAAACTCAGGAAACTGCCTCCATAATAGGGGCTACGTAGGAGAATAGCAATTAGCTCACTTAAAAGCAGCAATCAAAGCCGACATCAGTCGTCCAACCATAAAGCCATAAAGTCCAACCATTTCCACCCGCGTTGTCTGAGTTTGGAAACCTTCGCCTGCCAAATTCCAAATCTGACCTCCTAAAGTGTCTTCAACCACAAAGTCTCAGTTGTACAGACCCTCCCCCCACCCCCCAGTTTGATTGCAAAGTCTTGGATGGTGCAGTTATTGTCCACTGCCTGCCTACTTTTGAGGTTTCTACTTTTGATGAATACGCAGAGAAGGTATTCCTACCGCATCTTCTGCAGCAGCTCCGAGAAACGAGACGTGTTGACATTGTGTGAGATACCTACGTTCCTGACAGCTTAAAGGGTGCAACAAGGGGAAAAAGAGGTCCAGGAGTTAGAAGAAAAGTAGCAGGCCAAACAAAGCTTCCAAAGAACTGGATGATGTTTCTGCGTGACCCGGACAACAAATCTGAATTGTTTTCTTTACTGACGTCAAAGGTAGCAGAATTCCAGTGGCCTCCTGACAAAGCAGTGTATATTACATCAGGTTAGCAACATATCTGTGCTCTATTGATTTAGAACAGTGATTGACCACTTTCTAGTTCTTTATTGCTCAAGATCAGACTCAATAGCATGTAATTAACTCTTTTGTACTGAATGTATACTTCTACAAACAATGGTTTTGAATCGGCTCTAAGGTCAACCGCAATCGAGGCCTAGCTTGAGCAAAAGAAGACTCAAAACTAGTTTTGGTTTATATATATAATACATTTGTAATTATATGCACTTGTTTGCATTTAAGGAGCATCTGTAGTATCCCATGGATCTGAAAATGCAATGGGTTCAGTGCAACCACGAAGAGGCCGACGCACGTATCGTTGTCAATGTACGCCACGCTCTCGTGGAAGGGGCAGAATCTGTCCTTGTCAGAACGATTGGTAAACACTTTCTTTCTTCGAAGATAYGTTGATCGTCCATGTTTATGGAAGTCACTGTCGATTCTATAACTGTTGAAGTGGAACTCCCTGGTGTTTTACTTTTCTTTGCTACTTCATTTTTGACAATTTCACGTTCATTTTATCAGTCATTAATTAGAAAAACGATCCCAAGAACTAATAAAAAAGGGAAAAAATCTTGGAAAGAGAGTTTTCAGCGTCATAACAGATATAAAAAGCTATAGAAATAAAGCAAGTTTAAGCTTATATGCGCGTTAAGACATCGAGTCGAGTTGGCAAAGATGAATGAAAACAGTGCCGCCGGTTGACCGTCGTTTTGTTCAGTAAAGTTTTCAGTGTCATTCTTTGTTTTCAATACTATATCATTAGCTAGTAGGTTTATGCTAAAACTACTCGTTCTCGTTTTCTATGAGTCAAATAGTCGATTCTATCTATTATTAGAGAGGTTAAGCTTCTCAGTTTACGGCAAACGTGAAACGTCAGTTGGCCATTATTATTATTATTTTAATTAGTGAAAAAAATGAAACGCAATGATCTCCAAGTAGTAGCTAAAAATAAGAATATGTGTCTTTGTCGGGAAGGTTTGCAAAAGGTTAAGTGAAATGTAGGGTAACGAAAAAAACGTGGTCACTGCCAAGAAACTATAAACAATCCAAACAACACGGGAAGTGCGGGAGAGAAAAACGGGAAGCTTAAGCTTAATCTATCTATTGACTCATAGAAAACTCGACCTCGTAGTCTTATCGTTAAATAGACTTTGTGAGTCAAGCTTGCTACAATCGTAATAATATTCTAAGTACACGAATTGAACCCTCCCCCCCCCCCTCACGTAGACGTTCGTCAAAGAACATAGCGGCTTGCAATTTACGAATCTTTAATGGWAGGGTTGTTGGTGACTTGACGGGCAAAAAGACTTGTTTTCGATACAACGGAAATAGTCTAGTYGACTATGTAATCGGGAGTACAAATCTACTTGAAAAAGCTCGATTTTTGAAGGTTAATCCACTAATGCCAGATCTATCCGATCATTGTCATATTTCTTATGGAATAGAAATCCAACTTTACCCCAAAAACAGTGGAAACAAAGAAAGAGAAGAAAATAGGGAATTTTCGACAATTTCTAGCTTAAAGTGGCATACTGGAAATATCGATAAATTACAAAACATTTTAAGCACTACAGAAATACAAGCAACGCTACGCGAATCAATAGAAAACGCAGATAATGTAGACTCAATGGTTAAGGCATTTACTGAAACCCTAACAAGCATAGGAACAGAAGCAGGTCTTTGTTCCCTAACTAAACAAACTAAAGCATTTAAAGAAAATACAGATTCACAAAAGTGGTTTGATTCAGAACAAAAAGAAAAATCTTCGATCTCTTGGAAAACAAATTTGTAGGAATCCAAATAATGAACAACTTCGTAGGAATCTACATACCCATAAAAGGTCCTTTCGAAGCATGTGTAGACGTAAGAAAAACAAATATTTCAATTCAAAATTAATGAACCTTGGCCTCAAAGATTCGAAATCCACCTGGAAGTCTTTGAAACAACTTTTTAATGTAGGCAAAGCAAAAAATGCAAACTCCTGTCGAGCAAACGAAAAGGACTTATTTAATCACTTCAAGACGCTTAATAG